TATATGTTTGACCCTTTAAGGGTGCAATCAACAGTTTTTTTCTATGACGTCATATTTTAAGGGACCATGCCTAAGTGACCCTTAGTGGTGGAATGGTTAATAAAGATACTTGTATAAAACTAGATATTACTGGAATCAGAATTTTCTCTAGTTTATATTGAAATAAAAATATACTGTACTTTTAATATAGTAAAAAAGTTCTATCCAGAGAAAATGGGGAAAAAGTTGCCTAATCTGAACATAAAAAACCTGAAATCAGGTCATGTGCATACCCATGTAAACATGATACAGGCACATTTCCCATAATCAAAACTGTATGAAATTCATAGGTTTTTACCTGGCCTTTAATAAAAATCTTGTTTCAGGGTACGGTTTCCTGCTTCGAAAAGAGCTACAGTGGCTGCAAATAAGTTTTCAATTTTCACTGCCAAAAAAACAGGATGTTTACAGTGTTGTCTCCCCTCAAAAAATGAATATTTAATCTAATTTTTAAAATTATTTTAATCATTCAACCTGTTTAATTTGAAAGCTAATTAACTAGTTTTTACAATCGAATACAAAAAACATGATACTTTTTCACCAATTATATGAATAAAAAGGGATTTCCCTCCATGGTTATTTTTAGTCGGGGAATAACCCCTAGTTTTTTATACGAAACTGTTTATAGCACCCAAAAAGTAACAGAAGTCATTTCAGGTATCAAAAGACAGGTTATCTTTCCCTGATTCCACATGCAGTTGTCTCTGAAAAAACAAATGAACAGAGTTCCAATATCCCCTGCATTGCACATGTCTGTCTAATGGCGATAACTAAAAAAATAAATAGCAAGTGTCTTTTGATTGCATGAATTAAATGTGTTTTTTGTTCTTTATAACAGTTTATAAATTAATTAGAGAAATGTAGCCTTGAGAGGGATTACAATGGAATATTGGCAATGTTCCAAGTTATAAAGGGGCATAACTCTAGAACCATTAATAACATACTGCCAAAATGTAAACTCTGTGCGTTGTGGTTCTTAACATTGTGTATGAGTTTTATAAAATTTGGACGAGGCAAACTCAAGTTAGAGTGCAGAAACTAAAGAATTTGCAATTTACCAACATATAAAGAGGCATAACTCTAGAACAGTAAATGACTCATAGCCCAAATTCGAACTCTCTCTGCAAGATTTGGTTCTTAGGCCACATTTAAGAATATATTTGTTTCCCCTCTCCCGACCCTGGATTTCACAGGTGGGTAGGTAGGTAGGTCAAAAGTTTTTTTTTTTCCAGCAGTATTCAATGTATATAGTAAATTTCAATGACCACATACAAAGAAACCTTAAACAACAAGATTAGCTCTTCTTCTATTTAAAGTCGAAAATTTGTGGTTTGACAGTACAATTCAAATAAAGAGGACTCTTAAAAGCATGCATTAAACATGCAATATGATGTTATATCTTTTCAAACATGGAAGTACCCCGGATAGCATTATTTCTTGTACATGGTCATAGAAATTTACAATAAATCGTCTCAAAATGTCTCACGAATCATCATCCATGATCATTGGGCCTTTAAACCATATCATTATCAACTCCTTTATGAAGCAAATAGCATACAAGATTCAACATGTCCATCATTGCCCTGACCACATGTTTAAACAACTTAGTAGACTGGAACAATCGAGGGAAATATATTGCTCTAGGTTTATTGCCATTGACAGGAGTTGAACCCACAACTCTTCAGTCACAAGTCTGGCATCTTACTGTTGGTTCATGCCCATGTCAGAGTTGCTAAATAATAATATGATATATGGTTTTATCTTTATGGTACTAAGGAAGTACATAAAAAAGGTTTGCCAAGAAATTTGCTGTATCCCAAAAAAAAATTGAGTAGGGGTTCCCCTATTTTTAAGCTTTTTCCCACCAACCTCTTAACCAAGGACTGTCTGATGCAACTAAAAAAAAGCAAAGAGAAGATGGGAGAAGGTTCCCCTTATCCTAAAGGAACCAATCCTCTCTTTGAGAAATGATTTTGTTTCAATTAACATGATTAACCTACCTGAAATTTGCTGCTGATTTATCCATGAATTTGGGATTTTTTTTTAGAACTACATTACTCCGACAGCCGTTTTGCCAGACAAGCTTTGTCTGCTTAAACCTGCCGTCGGACGTCAAGGGTAATATCGGACTACTCTGTTTAAAAAAAAAGTTTTATGTTTTAATGTTCTGTTAGATTCCACTAGGATTCTGATGGGTTCGTTCAAAGTCGGCTTAAATGTTGCAGTTCCCCTTAATTTGTCAGAAACACTTGTAGTAAAAGTGTCAGTTTTGTGGAAAGTAAAATCGACTCTGTCCAAAGGCAAAACATCATGAATTTGATGTCAATGCACGTCGTTCAACGTCTCATGATCGTCATACACGTACAGGTGATTTTTGCACAAGTTATTGATGTCACTGCCACATTTTGCAACCACTGATAAACACAGCGTAAATATTCCACCATTCTTAAATATCTTTTCTCCTCGTGAAGACGATAGTCTTCGTAGCAATGGTAGCAGACCAAATCTAATTGTATCGTTTCTTGACTTTTGATAGGATCTGATGAAAAATGGGAAACTTCCAGTCACCGAAAAATGACAGTCGGTACCGGAAACGACCCCGAAAATTTTCCGGAAATAAAAAAAAATCGGAAATAAAAATCGGAATAAAAACATTTGGGTCGGCAGGACTTTCTCTGGGTCGGTTGGGCGAGGGGAAACAAACCATATTTTTATTTTGGCCTTAGCATTGTGTATGAGTTGCATAATATTTGGATGAAGAAAACTTAAGTTAGACTTAAAGGTGGGGAAACAAAAATGGGAAGGATAGAAGGACAGACGGACGGACAGATGGATGGAAGGATGGATGGAAGGATGGAAGGACAGTCAAGGGTAACACTTAATGTCCATGTTGCCTACCGCGGGGCATATAAACAAAATATAAATAAATAAACTGCTCCACAGGGCACAGTTTGATACGACACTCCACTCTGAAGTAACTGTATTATAACAAAGTCGATGTAGGACTTTCTTTGAGATATTATTGTGTCTGGGAGACACAAATGATGCCCCCGCAGATGCAAAGTGTTATTTTAAAACACACAAAGTTAAGCATGGGAGCACATAGGTCTATATATGGTTCACTGTAGGAGGAGTTATCTGGAAACGCTATGCACCTCTTATGCAAGTAAATACTCCAAAAAATGACCAAGTTCAACTATCTCCCAAAAGAGCAAATATCAATAAAAATCAAAACCCTGACCACATGCACACCTTCAATATATGTACATACAGCCAGCAAAGTGAAAACTTCCTAGCATTCAAACTGTAGGAGGAGTTATCTGGAATAGCTATATACCCATAATGGGACAGACGGAAGGATGGACGGAAGGAAGGACAATCGGAAGGACGGACAGATGGATGGATGGACAGGGGTAAAACAATATGCCCCCCAACTTTCAGTTGCAGAGGCATAAAAATAGAAATGAGAAACACTTATGAACCACACCAACAAACGACAACCACTGAACAACACGCTCCTGACTTAGGACAGGTGCATACAAATGCAGGGGGTTAAAACGTTTTAACAAGTGCCAACCTTCACCCTAACCTGAAAAGTAGTGTAACATTACATCATAAAAAGATACAGCTCTGAATTTGGATTGTGATTAAATTTTTGACACAGCATAGATTTCTGAAACATATAATTACTTGACTGACTTTTGTTGCAGTAACTCTCACATAGAATCTGTCAGATAAGCAAATAAGCTACAGTGTGTCAATCACCAATCATTTAAAGACCAGTTAAGTTCAGTTTAGTGATCATTCACCGATCCGTCAAGTTCACCTCAAACAGTTACGACTAAGATTGCAAGTACTGTATATGACATGACATAAGTATTATATGAAGTCAAGGTCGTTAAACACCCATGTAGTAGTTTACATCCCAGACTTTTGGTGGAGCATCTTCTCATTGTCAGTCATAATATCTTATTTTTATATTTATTACTATGATAATCTCATAGTGAGGCTAAGACTGACTGAGATTCAATTTTCAAAGCATAATTAGAAAAAAAAGACAACACCCTGAAATGTCTAACCTGCACAGCTGATTATGATTGAATTTTATGTCTGAAAGTTTCTTTAGATCTAGGTCTAAATACAGGTATAACAGAGATTTAACATTATCAATGATCCATAAGGTCAAGGTCAGATCACTTCTGTCAGGTGACATGTACACCGTACAATCATTTTATACACGCAATATATAGTTGACCTATTACTTGTAGGATCTGAGAAATGGACCTAATCATGAAAAGTTAACATTGTCAAAAAACAAAAAAAATGAGATTAAGGTCAGATGAATCCTGTCAGACAGATATGACACCTTACAACTATTCTATACACCAATTACAGTTGACCTATTACTTATAGTTTCTGAGAAAGGGACCTAATCACAAAAGCTTGACATAACTAGGGTAGGATAATAAGATGGTCAGATAGAGGTGTGCACCTTACAATCATTATGTCCATCTTATAGAGCTGCCATGAAAATGAGCAAGGTCAGATGAACACTGTCAGACAGACACCATTCTTTATTGTACCAAATTTAGTTGACCTATTGCTTACAGTATCTGAGAAACTGACCTAATCATGAAAACTAAAGGTCAATTACTAAACCATTAAAATGAGGTCATGGACATGGAAATAAGCCAAGATGAAACCTCAGACCATAAGGCATGTGTTTACCAGATATGAATTACCTAGCTTTTCAACCTTCTGAAATATGAAGCTTTATACACTTTGCTAACTCAGCTACTACTGGATCAGCATCCTTATGTCTATCATTCTGCATGTGAGCCAAGAATATATCAAGAAAGAGCTTTTTTATAAACAGACAGGGAAAAAAGGAAGGCCACAAGATAAGAAATAATGAGCTTCTAGAAAAACTGCATATTAGTACATACATACACAACACTCACCATCTTTCTTCATTTCTTTCTATTTTACAAATACAAATCCAGTCTTGAAGGTCCTACAGAAATGAAATACAAAAAATTCACTGCATTTGACATCTCTAATACTAAAGATAGATTTAACACAATTTTCAGAAAAATGCAGGACTCAAACTGAAACAAATATTAACATATATCAGTACTCATACAGGCATGAACTTTCTTTGCGTTTATTTGCAAAATGCATTTTGTATGCACTTTTTAATACCAAATTCTCCCAACCTTAGAATATTCTGGAATTCTACTCAACTGTAATAAATTTTTTTTCTGAAGAATCACAAATACTTCACAAGATAAAGTTGAGCATCACATTTTATTTGATTTAAACAATTGACTGGTCAGTTTTAACAGCAACAAGGACTATGTGATATGCAAGCAAAGCTAATTAAATTGAACAAAAGAACAAAATATACTTTAATGGTACATACTGACACTGGTATGGATATGATGGCAGGAATAAGATGGGAAGATGCCTTACTTAAGTCATTCATGATGTGTCTAATACATTTATTGCTTTCCTTGATGCAAATGCCACTAAAGGAGACAGAATTAAGCAAATTCTCAGTGAGTGACATTTTTCAAAAAGACCCTTAGTTAACGACTTGAATGCACCCACCTAACATACAGCTACATTAAATATCATTTGAAAGCTATTTATCCGTACTTTCTGTTTTGCCCAGTTGTCAATAATCAAGGTCAAAGGTCAAGAATGAACATTTCTAAATTTCAATTTGAACAAGGTGAACCAACACCTGAAGTGGTAATCGTGCGGTTGGGTAATAGTGGGTGGATACCGAAAGGTATTCACAGTTGTCTTTCACTATATAAGTAAAATAAACGACAATAAAGACAACAACACCCATCAATTACCGCATGGTAGGAGTTTATTCTGGTCGACATGTTTCGCCAACAAGCATGGCGTCTTCAGGACAATATTACATATGAAATCAAACAGTGAAGTACAAATTTTGCGGTTATGTGGTTCGCCGAAAGTAGCGTAACAATAGAGGTTGTTATGACGACGTTATAGATATAACTAGAAAGTAAAAGTAAAATAAAATAAGAATCTAGTTAAGTTAAAAGTGAAAGTTAGTCAATAAAGTCATTAACGATGTGGTTAGCTGCTATTTCTAAATTTTGTAAGAATTACTGTAAATTCAGAAATTATTGTGAGGTTTTTATTAATGCAAATAATGCTACAGGGTGAGAATCGGAATAATAACAGCTCACATTCTGATATCTGATACATTTATCTGTATGCAGATTTTCCAGAAAATTGAAATAAATAATCTTGCATTGTTGTTCATTCTTCAAAAATTGCAATAATAAATGCACGCAATAATTTCTGAGTTTACAGTACACAAAATGCCCTTCCTGGTTCTTGTGTGATATTTTTTTTCTAAAAATCATTAAGAACAGAGAACAATTATTCTAATTCAAATGCAAATTCAAAAATGTTAATTGTGTAATATTTAGAGAAAATTGTAGTTCTTGAAAAATCCTCCAAAGATGATCAAATTGCATTAAAATCAAAATATTTCTTGAGGTAAAAATACTATTAATATTTATATGTCAAAAATAAAATAAATATATCGTTTATAGGTCAAGGGACTTTTTTTCATCATTTTAAACTGCAATTGATATAATGGTCATGAATCAGCCTTCTAATGAAGCTTTTGCAGTTGCCCAAAATACCTCCATCTGCAAATAAGGATCATTTTGCTTTTCTTTGTTTAGATAACACACCGATTGTTGTCAATATCAGGAAAAAATAATATACCATATTAAAAAAAGTGGCAATAAAAGTGCTTTAAGGAATATACAAGGTATATACAGCCCTTAATTAAATCTACTGAAATGGTCGCCTAGGCGACTTTAAAAGCTGCTTGGGGACCGTAAATTTCGAACAGTTTACCCTGATCTGAGTTGTGGTTTTAAAAAATCATCTGAGCACTTGACAGTAACACAAATTTATAATCTATTTCAAGCGCCTATTAGGTGTAATACCACCATTGATTTTCCCCTATTAGTCTTTGTTAAATTTGCACTTTTCAAAAAAATTTGCAGACTTTATCTCTGTTTCAAATAAAGAAATACTTGGCATGAGTAAAGTTTTATCCTGTCCAGTACTATAGAAAAAAATTCACATAACATTTCATTGCATATAAGAAAATAACCATCACTGGAAGTTAACCAATCAAATTTTCCCCCTTTTTTAACCTGTGTACAAGCTTTAGTAACCATGTGACCTCAAGTTTCAAAAATATTCTATAGAAACCCAAAATAAAAAAATAATGGTGCTTTGAAATACCCAAGATATATGTTTATGACCCAGAAATGTTTTACTGCAATGAAATGTAGGATCAATTACCTACAACTGTCAAATGCAAGGGAATATTTTTTTTCAACCTATTTTCGTATGCAACCGGATGTGACGTACTATGATTTGGTGGTATTACACCTAAAGAAGACTTTTTTGTTAAATAAACTGAATGTGACTTTTTTGTTAAATAAACTGAATGTGACTTTTTTCCTTTGTAATACTGGTTATTTCAAGCATTCCTGTCAAGTTTTGTCATAATCAGTTCAATAGTTTGAGAAAAATCTGGTATAATGTAAGACGACATCTACAGCGATTCGAGCAAAATTTCTTCGAAAAATCCAAACCAAGCCGCATCATGATAGAATATAGTGTGGACCAATAAATGATCAAATATTTATCTCATCGGCCTACAAACAGTTGAATATGATACAAAAGAAGACTTTAGGATGATAAATACTACTAATGGACCTCTTTGTCTTCCTTATAAGGTCTCTTTTGGTCCATTTATACCTCTCATTTCCTCAAAATTTCTACTTTTTAGGCCAATAAATAAAAATTTTGGGGTAACTTTCACTCATTTATGATAGAAATGTTATAATAAATGATTAATTGAAGTATTCAAGCTGAATGAACTATCCGTATAAAAGTTTACTGTCTCCAAGGAGGTTTCAATAAGTCCTTACGTAAAACTTAAATTTACGCCGCATTCCAGAGTGGGACATAAAAAGCTTCTCTTTTGGTGAATAATTTGTTGTTACTGCTTTAAAAATAATTTCATTTACTTAAAACTATATATTTATTAAAGTATTTTTTAGGAAAATTTTTCTAGTGTAGCAGAATATAAGAAATAAGGAGAAAAAGCTCCCCAAAACTCTAAGTATGGCTTGTTCTGTCAACTAATATTCATGGTAAAGTCCTATTTCAAGGAAATTTTCTCATAAAATGTGTTTGGAGACTCAATCCACTCAGAATATTTCATTATTTGTAATATTTCACTTAAATAGCAAGAAATTTTAACACATGAGAGTACTCACAAGGTCAAAGGTGCATGTACAGCTTCCCATATTAAGTGTAATACCACCATTGATTTTCTCCTATTAGTCTTTGTTAAATTTGCACTTTTCAAAAAATTGTGCAGACTTTATCTTTGTTTCAAATAAAGAAATACTTGGCATGAGTAAAGTTTTATCCTGTCCAGTACTATAGAAAAAAATTCACATAACATTTCATTGCATATAAGAAAATAACCATCACTGGAAGTTAACCAATCAAATTTTCCCCCTTTTTTAACCTGTGTACAAGCTTTAGTAACCATGTGACCTCAAGTTTCAAAAATATTCTATAGAAACCCAAAATAAAAAAATAATGGTGCTTTGAAATACCCAAGATATATGTTTATGACCCAGAAATGTTTTACTGCAATGAAATGTAGGATCAATTACCTACAACTGTCAAATGCAAGGGAATATTTTTTTTCAACCTATTTTCGTATGCAACCGGATGTGACGTACTATGATTTGGTGGTATTACACCTAAAGAAGACTTTTTTGTTAAATAAACTGAATGTGACTTTTTTGTTAAATAAACTGAATGTGACTTTTTTCCTTTGTAATACTGGTTATTTCAAGCATTCCTGTCAAGTTTTGTCATAATCAGTTCAATAGTTTGAGAAAAATCTGGTATAATGTAAGACGACATCTACAGCGATTCGAGCAAAATTTCTTCGAAAAATCCAAACCAAGCCGCATCATGATAGAATATAGTGTGGACCAATAAATGATCAAATATTTATCTCATCTGCCTACAAACAGTTGAATATGATACAAAAGAAGACTTTAGGATGATAAATACTACTAATGGACCTCTTTGTCTTCCTTATAAGGTCTCTTTTGGTCCATTTATACCTCTCATTTCCTCAAAATTTCTACTTTTTAGGCCAATAAATAAAAATTTTGGGGTAACTTTCACTCATTTATGATAGAAATGTTATAATAAATGATTAATTGAAGTATTCAAGCTGAATGAACTATCCGTATAAAAGTTTACTGTCTCCAAGGAGGTTTCAATAAGTCCTTACGTAAAACTTAAATTTACGCCGCATTCCAGAGTGGGACATAAAAAGCTTCTCTTTTGGTGAATAATTTGTTGTTACTGCTTTAAAAATAATTTCATTTACTTAAAAAACTATATATTTATTAAAGTATTTTTTAGGAAAATTTTTCTAGTATAGCAGAATATAAGAAATAAGGAGAAAAAGCTCCCCAAAACTCTAAGTATGGCTTGTTCTGTCAACTAATATTCATGGTAAAGTCCTATTTCAAGGAAATTTTCTCATAAAATGTGTTTGGAGACTCAATCCACTCAGAATATTTCATTATTTGTAATATTTCACTTAAATAGCAAGAAATTTTAACACATGAGAGTACTCACAAGGTCAAAGGTGCATGTACAGCTTCCCATATTAAGTGTAATACCACCATTGATTTTCTCCTATTAGTCTTTGTTAAATTTGCACTTTTCAAAAAATTGTGCAGACTTTATCTTTGTTTCAAATAAAGAAATACTTGGCATGAGTAAAGTTTTATCCTGTCCAGTACTATAGAAAAAAATTCACATAACATTTCATTGCATATAAGAAAATAACCATCACTGGAAGTTAACCAATCAAATTTTCCCCCTTTTTTAACCTGTGTACAA